GCCAGTTGTCACAGAGAGAATATCAAAGGGGCACTTAGCAGCTGTAGCTCAAGAGGTCCACTAATCAAAAGGTTGGACCCCTGCTGCATGTTGTGTCCTTGAGCAAGACACTAAACCCTAAGTTTCTCCCAATGCTGTGCCATCAGTGTGGGACTGTGTGTGAATTGGTTAGTTAGTTTCTGACGAGCGATTGGCTTGCATTGCAGCCTCTGCCATCAGTATGTAATGACGAATGACCAAACATTGTCATGCATAACTCATCCCAGATCATAGTGCTAAAATTTAGGCTTACTGCTGACATCTGGATTCTCAAGGTCCAGCCGGTTCTTCTGGGCCTCCAGAAACACCTGGAGGTTTATTCCCCTTGCCTGAGACTGATGATTGATGAATCGAGCTGGAATGCGTCCAGAGAGGTCAGGTTCATCGCAGCCAAAGCCCAGGTCCAAGAGAACCTCTTCCGGGTCATCATTCCACAGGTTGAGTATGTCCATCACACTGTCAGCAGATGAAACACTGAACTGAGTATGTACTGTACACTAATAAACAGTTCTATCTGTGTGTGTGTGTATGTGTGTGAGGCTGTGTCTAACCTGAGTGGTCCAGAGTGACCTGAAGTTGCTGAGCTGAAGCTGTTCCACCTGCTGAGAGCTGGACTTGACCTGCTCCACCTAAACAGGTACAATACACAACAAAAGGTCCCATTCACACACTTTTTGTTCAATGTTCTTACTCATGGTTTGCATTTGGGTCCACATCTTCATTTCATATAACACAACCAGATGTCAGAGAAACTGCAGCGTCCTATCTTCTGTCTTTTTCTCTCCATACACATTAACAAAGAAGCCAAATAAAAAACACATTGTTGAAATTTAAAACTTGTAATGTGAATTGTGTTACATAACAGAAATAAATTTCATATCTATTGTGAATACCAGCTTTTTTACTCACATTGTGCTCCTGGTCTTTGGAGATCAGTACCTTGTCTGACCTGCTTTCCTTGATCTTTAATTCTCATCCCCTCTACTCTTCGCTGACTCATATTTTCTGTGGAGCTGTCAAGTATTGTAATAACTTTCCTCTGATCCTTTCACTTTCTATGCAAACTGTGCTGGGTTCTGTGAAGAGGGGGGAGGGGGGGCTTATTTGCCTGGTAAATATGACTTTTAGTTACGTGTCTAATTATCAATTTAGGTTGTTATTACAGTCTGAACCAGCTGTCAGTCAAAGACACACTGCAGTATAGTGGGTTAACCAGAGGACGTTGGGTAGGTCAACAATGATTTAAAAAAAACAAACATGAAAACTGCTTCCTTTCCATGAAGCTCATATCTATCTATATATATATATATAACAGATTACAGGAACGGATATTGAAATTTCTTCTAATCACTCTGCCCATTTTGCATAAATTTATCAGCTCTTTCTGTAAGCAGATTATAGTTAATGCCTTTATGACTCTCACTGTCTGCTGCTGTGAATATGAATGTGTAATGTGTCTCTCTTGCTTACTCTTTCTCTAACACACACAACACACACAGTTCTATCAAACCCTCTTACTCCCTGGCCGGATAAATCGTTTTTTTGCTGTTAGATTCGGTTCCATTAATCTGCCCCCAAAGTATTTTATTATCCATCTAGTACGGGCTGTTTTAATTATCTACAAAATAGCCATAACCAATAAATAACACAGACAACTGGTTTTGAAACTATGGTACACTGGTGTTACAAAACCTCACTCTAGTGGTACGCAGAGGAAATAAAATTCATTAATAATTTTTTTTAAATTTAAACTGTTTTGCCTTTCCTGTAATATTGTTTCGATATCAGCCTGGTAAGTAGTCATGTTCATGCACATAGTACATAAATGAGTAATTACACCTTGTGGTGTACGAGATCTGCGTGGAGGTGTTCAAGTACCAGTTCCAGTGCTACCTCTTTGTACAGATAAATGGAGAGCCTGATATTTTCTGAAATAGTCACTTACAATAGTAACAGTAAACTCTTAGCAGAGACAAGACCAAAGGTGAGATGCAAACAAACATTACTTGTATCCAATAAAATAAAATGTAGTACTCATTACTTGTTACTATTTTCAAAATAAATATGATTACTTTAGTTATTAATTATTACATCATGTTTCTGCACCATCTCACATAATTGTTAATTCTGTCATTTCTCCCCAAAATTTAGACTTCCCATGTGTGTCTCCAGCGAATGTCAGGGTAATTGCCCAGTTAGTGCAGCTAAGGCTTCAAACTTTCTTTCTGCAGCCTATGTTGCCTGACATGTTATATGAAAAGCACACCTGGCACATATGATTGCATATGGAAATGGAAGTGCTGCAACACAGACCTTGATTAATTCCAGCCAATATCATACACAGTTACTGAAGTTTTAGAATACTGAAGTCAGCTCATTTTCAGTTGTGTTAGAATGAATTCCAGCACTGTGCTGTGTGATAGACTCAATCTACACTACTGGCTGTGTGGCTCTGTACGTCTGACAGGAGATGAGAACAAGAAGAAGATAGGCGTCCTTACCGCAGAAACTCCTGAACTGTCCTCACTCCCTGGTTACCATATAAAGACGCTGCAGGGGAGAAAAGTAATGTTATCTGACAGGGAAGCAAACAGGGTACAAATTACACAAGAAGAGAGGGAAACATCAGGAGAGGAGGAAGGCATGGAGACATCCCCTCGATTTTGGTTGAATGTCAGTACATCCTGTCCAGGTCTGGTGTCAAGGCTCCTCGAGCTATATTAGGAAAGTGTTTCTCTCTGTCTCTCACCCTCCCTCCCTCCCTCTCTTCTTTCTTCCTCCAGAGGGTGTTTGGGTTTTGGCAGTCGCCTCTACCTCCTTCTCCCAGACTAGGATTCCATTTGCCATTGGCATGGTGTCAAGAACAAAGTAGTCTTTCTCCCTCTCTACCGCCATACTTTGTGTTTTTTTGTAATGCACACACCATTTTTTTGTCAGAAAACTACATGTAGTTAAGATGCAGGTGAGAGATGTATCTTTTTTCTTTAAAGGCCAAGAAAGAGAAAGAGAATCCTCAGTTAATGGCTGATGCCAGTCGTGTTCTCGTCCACAGTGCTGTGATCAGTGCCATGTAATTTGCTCTTATGTAAGAGCAGACACAGATGCAAAGGTAGGGTGGCACTGGTAGACACAAAGGGAGAGGCTCTTGTCACACCGTGAAGATAATGCAGTCACTAATCTGATCTCTTGGTTGGATTTGATCTGTTGAATTTACAGAAGAAATGTTGCCACTGCAAATAGCTTCATTTAAAGTGTGATCTACTAACTCTCTTTTCTGTTGAAAGCCACCCAATTCATTCTTCAGCAGAATGAAACATTTTCGCTTTTTCCCCCTAAAACTTTAATTAACTTGTTTAAAAACACATACTTACATCTACATCTACTTCTTCTCCCTGAGATCTATAAGCTATAAATATGCATATTAAAATAATATTAAATATATAAAAGTATGTATATCCTACATACTACTACTACATACTACATATAATACTTCACTGAAAAGTCAATTTTCAATGCATATAGCTACTGGATCAGTGGTTAGATTATTATTTAAGATCTAAACTTGTGTCTCATGATTGTCAAAAATAATAAATAAAAAAAATAATACTGATGGAGAATAGTAATCTAATAAGTTCCTAAAAACATCAAGAATTCATGTCTGAATACCCCAGGTTCCTCTTCAGCACTGTAGCCAGGCTGACAGAGAGTCACAGCTCTATTGAGCAAGCTCGATTCATCATTCACCCAGTCTCAGCAAGGGAATAACCTCCAGGTTGTTTGGAGGCCCGAAGAACCGGTGGACCTTGGTAACCAGATGTCAGCAGTAAGCTAAATTTTAGACTATGATCTGGGATGACGTTATGTCATGACAATGTTTGGTCATTCGTCATTACATATGATGCCAGAGGTGCAATGCAGCCAAATCGCTTGTCAGAAACTAACTAACAATTCACCTCAGTCCCACATGATGGCACATCATTGAGAAACTTAGTGTTTAGGTGTCTTGTCAAGGATAAAACATGCGCAGGGGTCAACTCTTTTGTTTAGTGGACTCTTTGGGTACAGTGCTAAGTTCCCTGTTGATATTCTCTCCTGTGACAAACTGGCGTATCGTGAAATCAGTGACCTGTTCTAGACTTCAGAAGGTATGTATGGAAGCCCATTTCTGCCAGTTGTGATAAAAAACGGGATCTTGTTAAATTAATTTTAAGGAAAGTAAAAAAAGATGAAAGAAACTCTAAAATAATGATTACTCATAAATTAATAATTTTGTATTTAAAAAGTATTAAAGAGACACTTTCTCAAAATAATGACTTAGTATCTAAATAACTTTCTAAAAATCCTGGAAACTTTCTTAATATAGGATAATAATAATAATAAATACAGGATGTTTTCATCACATTGATGTAGAAATGGGCTGCAGTATTTACTGTTTGACAAATTTGTTGACGATTTTATACTTCATTCAATTCAATTCAATTTTATTGTTATAGCGACAATTCAAACAGGAAGTTATCTCAGGACACTTTTTAAATTAGATGCAGGTCTAGACCGAACTCATTTTAACTTATAGAGACACAACAGACCACATTGAGCAAGCACCTTGGGCGATGGGGGCAAGGAAAAATTGCCTGTTAACAGCAGAAACTAGGAGAGCCCTTCGGTCTAGGTGGGTGGTCATTCCTTGACAGTTGGGGGGGAAGATAGAGAGGGAGAGAGAGAGACAGAGAGACAGACAGATGTACAGACAAACAGTAGCAAACAATACATTAATAGTATGATCGATGACGATCATTGAAAAAAGACCGATGACGATGGCAGCAGTCAACGAGGGGGACAGCGAGAGCGATAAACAGTATACTGTAAATAATAATATATAATAATACTTAAAATAATAAAATATTGGCTCTTGCGATATCCGAATTCCGATATTTTTTACACAAAACTGTTATTAAATACATATCTCTATTTTGGAATTAAAACATTATGCCTACATTTGGTATTAGTGATGCCTCCACTGGATGCATACATAAATGCAACATGGCTTCCAAAGTAACACTGTCTGTTGCAAATAGAGAACAACTTCAACTTTCATTGTATTAATACTGAAATGAGGCTAACGCTAGCTATTGCTAATGCTAGTTAAGGCAACTTGCTAGCTACGCTAATATAGCTAAGCACTAGCTTTAGCTTAAGTGTTTTTAATTGGTATTATGCACCTGAAGGAGTGCTAAGTAATTTTAAGCCAATTGTTAGTTTCTTGGTTAAGGACAACTTCATAGTCAGGGTAAATATTTAATTGTGTATTGACTCTATTTTGTGTTAATATTATAAATCAATCAGCTTTAAATTGTTTGCTGTTAGCACGGTTTAGTGAACCTCCAGTCTAGCGTGTAGTTGTTGTGTTAATCGCATCTATCGCCTGCGGAACAAGTCCATCTTGCGTTCATGGCAGGCTTGGAAATCTGAGCTCAGAACAAACATGGTTATAAAACAGATACCGATAATTCCCGATATTACATTATTTGTGAATAATCGGATATATCGCCGGGCATATCTATCGGCATCCCTAATAGATAACTAATAATATAAACATATATCAGTGATTTTAGCAATAATGGTAGTCAAGTCAGGAAATGGCAGGGGAGGGCTCCACCAGGATCCATGAGAAATGCAAAAGAGAAACACAAGAACTCGGGAAGAGTGAAGTTAGTAACATGCATTAATGGACATTGAATGAGGCAGAAAGAGAGACAGAGGGAAGAGAGGTAGCTCAGTGAATCATGGGATCCGCCGATAGTCTAGCCATAGCAGCATAACTAAAGATGGTTCAGGACTCACATGTTCAGCCCTGAACTATTAGTTTATCAAAGAGGAATTCTTAAGCCTTCTTAAATGTGAGAGAGGGTTGTCTGCTCCGAACCACGACTGGAAGCTGTTCCACAAGAGAGGATCTTGGTAACGATAAGCTCTGGCTTCTGTTCTACTTTTAGAGGATATAGTAACCACAAGTAACCCTGTTATGAGAACGCAGTGTCTTAGAGGCGTATATGTACTATGAGCTCTTCAAGATAGAAGGGGCCTGACCATGAAGAGTTTATAGGTGAGGAGGAGATTTTAAATCTATTTAAATTTAACAGGGAGACAAATTGCAGAGAAGCTGAACAGGAGAATGTGATTTTTACCTAGTTCCTGTCATACTCGGTGCTAGCGTTTTGAATTAATTGAGAGTCTTAATGGACTTATTAGGGAACCTGATATTAAAGAGTTGCAGTAAAAAAAAAAAAATTCCAGCCTAGAAGTAACGAAATGCATGGACTTAGTTTTTTGCATCTTATCTGTGATAGGATGTGTCTAATTTTTGTAAATATTTCGTAAATGAAAGAGGCAGTCCTAGAATTCTTTATGTGAAAATTTAAATGAAAGTCAATGAAATTAAAAAGATAACCCAAGTTAATGGAGTGATTCCTGAATAAATGTTGCCTAAAGGGCAGCATATATAAAGTAAATAGCATAGGTCAAG